TGTAGCATTAGACTAGACATTGAAATTAAGTTCAAATATTTCCTGCTCTTCTAACCGGTACGTACCTACCCTAATAAATGACCAGTACCTCCTATGTAATTATTAATCTCAACAAGTGTATAACGTTAGGAGTCGGACCCACATATTCCACATCAGTAAAAAAACGTTTCAAACTGAAAGAATACCGTCTCGAGATGAAAACTCAAACATGCGGGTCCACTACCAAGCTTTTTAATGTAGCGATAAATAATAATAGGTAAGGAATACCCACAAATGAGGATAAGGGGCAATGAAAGGATAATAAATTATCCTGCAGCTTTTATAAATGGCTAGTGAAACTCCGACAGTTCTTAACAATTGCATTTAACAGTTGCTGTTCTGGTATTATATTAAACCTACAGGGTGGTCCCTAAGTAAGAAAACTTGGAATGGGGCTGTTTCTTGATATAAATAGGAAATTTCCAACTAGTATGAACTAGCTCCGAACTTTTGTTTGGTAGTAACATATCCAAACCTGATACACTGTATCCTATTAATTAAGAACCATTCTCACTCAATTGATAAATAAGGACAGTATAGGTGTTGTATAAATTATGAGATAGTTATCAATTAAACAAAAATTCTGAAGAAGAAATTATCAGCACGTTGTATCTAGGTATGATGCTGTTCTTCTTTCACCTAACTAGAGAGTTTCATGTGAAAAATATACGTCAGTTTTATCAAAAAATATATTTGAATTGTCTGTCCCAGATTTATTTAAATTAATATGTAGTGTTATCTACTTACATATCGATTACTCAAAATGGAGTTACTCATGAATGAAGATATTTCAGCCACAGTTTTGGTCACAACAGGTTTTGGATTCACCAAAAGATCAATCGATAGCGCTATTTTAACATCAAATACCACAAGCGTTGACAAATCCTTTGCATTTACAAAGTAAACACAATTTGTAAATATTTACTTTAAATTTTAATGAATGGTGTTTAGGTTTTTTTATAAACGCTTTGAATTCTCAGTTCTTTTCCAACCCATCGACAAAATAGATCTAAATTTTCTGAATTTCTCTACTTACATATGAATGAATTTGAAAATTGTTTCAAATTTGATCTTCCGCTTTTCCTGAAGATCAGATTTTGTTCACCTTTTCCATTTATATTTCAGAAAGTGTTAACTTATTACATTAGTCAATTTTACTTCAAAATGCTGAATATGGATTACTCACGTGTATTTCTGAAAACGTTAATTGTTTTCACTAGTCAGCTTAGAATTTGTACACTGTAAAAAAATCGGCGTGAGTGATAGCAATAAAGGTACGGAGTGAATGCATTGAGTGAAATAATTGAGCACATTTTCACTCAATATTGAGCATTTTGATAATTTTGCTGTGATATTTGAACTAAAACTGAGTATTTCCATTGAAATATAGGTGCCTGTTAAATAAATTCTCCAAATAAACTCATATTTGATACACTTGTACCTAAATCAGAGTAAATGTCCTCATTCTAGGGTTGTCGTGCGTTGTCTTTGTCTATTCCCATCGTCCCCATTAGGTCATCTCGTGTAGTGCTGGATACGTGTCCCTTTATCCTGTTATTTTGGTGAAAATTGTGTTTAAATATAGTGGTTTCATTACAATAATTAAAATCAATAGTATCCCGATTATTTGGTTAAGTAAACGGATAGTTAGATTGTTACGTATACTTACTTACGTATCTGTAACGTACAATATAGGTTATGGCAATCTATTCGTCCGATCAGTAAACAAATTCTTTTAACTGAGACCTAAAATATTGTCTCTAAAACAGATCTGTGTAGAAACCACTGCTTAGGAGGTTATGACTTTAATACAATGATACTTAAATTAAAATTCAAAGAGAATATAATCTAAGACTGAGTAAAAAATTATTCAGTAATAGTTAAATTTAGAGAAAAAGTCAATTCTTAATTGGTTTTACATACTCAGAATAGAGTCAAAAGTCACTCACTTGATAGCAGAAACTCAATCGAGTGTGGACAGAAATTGATACATTATTGAGTAAAATTGAGTAAATTGAGTGCATTTTTTTACCGTGTAAACAGTATGTTATCTGAGTTATGTCCCTTGTAGTGTTGTAGTAGTGTTATACACATACATAAGAAAATGTCAAATATACTTTGGAATTCATCAAAACTATTTAAAGAAAATGGACTATGGATTATGGAAATGTTTATTCGCATGTAAAATGTCGTATTTATAGCACTGTATTTAATCTAAGTCAGAGTAGGCCGTAGTTACAAATAAATTTAAAAAACTCCTGATGATGACTAAAATATTTTTATACCGCCAAATATGACACATAAGTGAACACAAAATTATTCTTCAAAAATCTGTATCAACCAAAAATATTTTAAAAACTCATTCTAAATTTAAAATTTCATTTAAAATTTAGAATAACTTTTGGTGTAAACAAACTTCTTAATATAAAAAAAATCAGCACTAATAATTTTTTTCTAGTAAATTTAGTATTTATATGTTATATGAAAATGCTATATTTAGTGAACTTGAAATTTTACAAAGAAAATTTCAATTGCTCTCAGATAGACTTCTTGAATGTCAAATATGACAACCAGAGAATCCGTATAAAATGGAATCAACCATTAAAAAGCACCCGACATACATATATGTATGACTAAAATACATAAATGAAGTTTTCTAAAATGATGCCTAAAAAAATATTTTATACACTTTCCTAAATATTGAAGCTTTCTTAAATCAAATTTACGAATTCTGAAATTCAGTGAACCTTAAATAGTTCTGAAATAGAAACCACTGATGTGAACTACAAAGTGCGATCCAAAGTAAAAAGAAATTTTTAAAAATAAGAACAACACATGGCTTCTACGTCCACAAAACGCTTTCCCTTTATCATCAAATGCGTTTTTCCGAAAAGATAATAGTCGCACGGTGCCAAATCAGGCGAGTACGAGGAGTGGTTGACAGTTCAAATATGATTTTTAACCAAAAAATTGGTCACAAGTGTCGATTGATGAAATGGCGCATTATCGAGCAACAAACTCCAACTTCCTTGTACACACAAATGCGATAAATTGATGTTTTTGAAATGCTTAATTCCAATTCCATGAATTTCGATTAAGATTTCGGCTGGTCTTTGATGAATTCACGCACAGTTTTGATGGAATTACGAATTTCGATACCACTCATGAACTCTGCTACGGGATAAACAATAATCACCATAAATTTGGTTCATCAATTGAAACGTTACGGTAAAAGTTTTACCAAGTTCAAAAGAAAAATATTAGTTCCTTGTTCGCTACTCATTGTTGATGATACGAACATACTCTCAGTTCAAACACAATAACTCCACTTCTATTCGTCCAAATGTTATAAAATTTTGTCAGTGATGGATCTACCTTTCCAACGCATATACCTAGTGGCCAATATAGATTACCTCACTAGAAATACCTATTTTTCAAAAGTACTGTTTACTTTATAGAAGTAGCTACTTTAGAAATCAGACAGAAATGATGACTTCTGTAATAAACAGTTTTTAAAATTTGGAGATGCAGTGAGTATACCGAATATTTATTTTGTCCTTAGCTTTAATCTTATTATTAATATTCCTTATATTAGTTCTAAGGAAGTGAATTCAAATTTAAGAAATACCAACTAAAAAAAAATTACTGAGCGAAAATGATGGTGATGCTCCTGACCGTTTTCAGCTATCAACTTTTACAAACAGTAACTAATTCATTGCCATTTTTCACGTGTGTTTTAAACAAATGGTTTCGCTTCACCGACAGAGTGTGATGAAGTAGCAAACTAATTTCTGCCTGGTCGCCTCATATTTCATTTGAACCACCTACGAGCTTAAAAATAGAAGGAGGAAGTCTCGTTTCTTCCGTTTCATTAAATTCGGCTACAAACGCTGACATCTGCGCAGTGAGTTTACTATTTTGTAGAAACAAACACTACTGGAAATTTATAGACCAAACTAGCCATAAAAACAAACTCGTGTGGGTGCATTTGGCTACCGCACAGTCCAGCTGAGGATATACTGCCTCCGCTACCAATAAATTATTAGGATAGTTAGGTATTACTAGCTGCAGCACGTCATTAATTCATACACCCATCAAATGTAGCAAGTGACCACCTAAATATGCAAATCTAACTACTTTCAGGAGTATCATGTGACTGTCAAATTTCTACAAAAACGTGTAACTGATTGTTTGCACGAAGCGCAGTTGCAAAAATTATATAACCCCAAGTCAAGGCGTTCATTAAACAGGGGAAACAATCACCCAGGAAACGAACTGACTGAAAAGAGCTTACACCGTCGTAGGAGGCTGCTCGCTTTCGTTAAGTCAAGATGGCCGAAGCTTAAACTCCCGCTATACCCGGAGCCGAAACAGTTGAAGACGTGCACGTGGCAACAACGCTCATAGCCTACTTCTTTACCCTGAACACGCATTTTCGAGATAAAACTAATTCAGTCCAAATATGAAAATATTTGAATTGCTAAGCCGGGTTTATGGCCCGAAAACGGGATTTGGTAACGTTCACGCTATTTTGAAACTTGCAGGCACCAAAACGATAATTAAACAACCAAAAATAGAGCAATTAAGCGGGTGATCTTGCTGTTAATATAATTACGAGCGTGATACGGGAAATTATTTGTTTAACGTCTAAACATTGTATTTGCTCTGAGTAAAACTACCCGTTGTTTACTTCTTATTACTGTTTACTGTTTGACTTTAAAAGGCTTCTTATCGCCAACAAAATGCCTACTTCTTTACGAAAAAATGTTATCTCTTGTGTACACTAAGAAAAATTGTTAATAAATTCATAGTTACATAAACGCTCTAATTCTCTAGATGTCGTGACTAAAACATGTAACTGAATAATTGCTTTGCAAAATGAAAATTTTGAACAGCTTGAGAAGTTTATGGGAAGCTTTAATAAATTGGTAAGTGAGCTTATAAAATAAGAGCACGCTCACCTGTTTCGTTTCTGAATCAAGTTATCTGGATTCCAAATCGTCCAATCCCATGATTGCGGCACAAAACAAAACAACAACAAAGTCAGTTCAGTTCACAAAACCAGCACTAATCACATGCCAATAGCACTTTGCAAAATACAGGTGCACCACAACAATCGGGGGGGGGTTGACAATGGCACCCCGCGATGCGTAATGAGGGTTGCAATAAATGCCAAGCGGAACAGGAGCCCAGGTAGATAGACGCTAGACCTACTACGACTCGACTAAAAGTTATATGGAAAGGAGAGGGCAAGACTCAAGTTGGCGGCCGGGTTAGCCACCTGAGACCCGAAGAAGGAAGGGGGCACACACACAGTAGTAGTGGGTCTACTACGGCAGCGGTGGCGTATTCAACTGTTCTATGTTCGGCCGCCGTGCCGGTGTAGATCCCCGCGACCGCAGCCGCTCGGGTCGTAGTAGGCGGCTTGGCGGTGCATTAATGGGACCGAGGTGTTTTGTTTATTGAGAATTATGGGACGGGGGGATTAGATACGGGAGATTTGGTGATCCACGGTGTCTTACTTTCCACGTAGATCAGGAAATTACCAGTCTACTACCTGAAATTGGCGAAACGGCGGGAAAAAATCGGGAATTTGGATCGCGTACGGTTTTCTTCGAAAACTGCCATAAAATAATATTTTAAATCCGTTTCCTAGGTGTTAAAAAGAGACTTTAATTAGTTGCAACGAAAAAAGCTTGCAAAGACGACCATAAGCAACCACAAGGATCTAATTTCTATTCCAATAGAGTAGCAGACTACTTTTTCACTCAAAATCAGCGCAATTTTCACTCAGCGTCACTCAGCCATTTGTTAGCTAAATCCCATATGGACAACATTGAATAATAATAAAATTCTATAAATTTTTACTACATACAGGGTGTTACAAATTCGCTTCTCACTACAGGGATCTCCGAAACGGTAAGAGGTACGAAATAGCTTAAATGGGGGCAAAGTTGCTTAATCAGGGGACCAACATTATACTTCTAAAAAATCAAGGCTAACATTAGTTTTGGAAATATTTGAACAAAAATTTTGGAAATCCGTTTTTGTTTCATTACAGCCTTGGTTGATGTGATATTTAAAAAAGAAGAACACTTTCTCAAGGTCACTTTCTGCCCTCTATCGAATGCCATAATCAATATAATCAATTTCTATATGTAACGTTTCGTCTCTTCAGGGCCATCATCAACTTCATTTTTTTAAATACGACCCTGTAATTTTATAACATTTTTTGCAAACTTTCATAACCCCCCAATACTGTACTGCCTCAGCCCGAACCAGATTCAAACGTTTTGTCTCGAAAAATCCATCTTCAGTGTATTCGTTCCAAATTTATCTAAATTTTTTATTTAGATTTCTTTGTTTATTGAATTATCGTACACTGTAAGTGTCGTTAGACCCTGTGAAATCCATCTAGTTATTTAAACTATTACCACCACGCGATCAATAAAACATTTATTATTATTAACCATTACCATCACTTGATCATGCGTAATTTAATAAATTGTTGCGTCAAAATTAAAACATTATTACAATTTTAATTTTATTATGACAAATTAATTCTTAAAAACGCATATGAACAACCAAAACGCCAACTGAATATTACTCTTTAAAAAATTTCAGTAAATGTTCAAAAACATTTTCGTTTTGGCAAAGGTTGAAAATGAAGATCAGAGTAATATTATCGGAATTTATTATATCTGTAACCGCAACTGTGAAAAAGCATGTCAGATGTATTTGTATAAATATCCTGAAAAAAATAGATCGGAATTTGTCTGAAATTTGAGCACTCGAGAAGCCTAGAAATAACTATGGACACGGGAATACAACTCTAATAATTTTTTATTATAATGCGTAGTGGTAATAGTTCAAATAACTAGATGGATTTCACAGGGTCTAACGACACTTACAGTGCACGATAATTCAATAAAAAAAGAAATTTAAATAAAAAATTTAGATAAATTTGGAACGAATACACTGAAGATGAATTTTTCGAGACAAAACGTCTGAATCTGGTTCGGGCTGAGGCAGTACAGTATCGGGGGTCGTGAAGGCTTGCAAAAAATGTAATAAAATTACTAGGGTCGTAATTAAAAAAATGAAGTTGATGATGGTCCTGGAGTGACAAAACGTTTCATATAAAAATTGATTATGCCATTCGATAGAGGGACAAAAAGTGGCCATGAGAAAGTGTTATTCTTTTTTCTATATTACCTCAAACAAGGCTGAAATTAAAGAAAAACGGATTCCAAAATTTCGTTTTTTTTAGTGACATTTAGTCATTATATTTTATTGGTTGCTTACACAATTTTTATGGATATTAAACCTGTATTGAATATCTAGTAAACAAATTAGTTTCTTCCATTTTCTGGAAAATAAATTCTCTATTATCTACATAATTCGCTCATATTAGGACATCTATTACATTTGGTAAATGCTGTATATGTTCTAAAGTTCTGAATTTTTTCTTTTATTTTCAGTAGTATTTCTTTATAATGGTTTTAGATACCATGTGCTAAATTCATCAACATGTATTATTTTCAAAATTAAAAATGTCTCCTAGAAAAACAAAATACCTGTCGTAATTTTCTAATTATGTACATCGTACCTGTACTATAATTACAATGTTTTCCTTGTTTTGTTAAATATTGGAGTAATCTTCTTTTTTACGCCTCATTAAATTTACAGTAATATTTTTTATATATTACAAATTACAGAAGAGATTATATCTCTATTATATAGCAAAGACATATCATTTAAAGGTATCATTTAATGTAGAAATTATAACATATTTGGATGGCACACTTAAAATTAGCTAAAATAAAAATCCTGTCACTGGAAGTTTATTAAACTTTTTTAAATGCATTTTGCAAAATACGTTTTGATCTGACGTTTATACAGGGTGTGCCGGTACTGACACAAAAAAGTCGAGTCCAAATGAGGTCAAAATAATATCAGTTCTTCATGTAAATTTTTTCCTACGGGCCTTCGTTAACAAGTTACGGGCCCTCAAAGGTGAAAATTAAAAAGTTATTCCTGATTCCTGAAGAATTTGCCAACGATAAATACCCTCTTGGTTCAAGTCGGTAAAATTAACAGTTTAGGAAATATTTGTGATGCAGATCGAGCGACGCCTCCACCATTTTTTGTTTATAATTTTTAATTGGACATAATTACTATGTACAACAGTACATATTTTTAAAATAAGAGCCTAGAAAATTTACACACTACACATAACACAAAACAAAAATAAGTTAAAGTAATTTAAGTATTCAACTCCAAATATCGATGTCCATTCAAACGTTTCTCAAAAATGTATAGACCTTTTAAATTATTAATCACAATTCCTGTCCACACAAAAAAATCGATTTTCGAGCCCAGGGGTCAGACCATTTTTATTATACTTTATATATTATAGTTTTTTGGGTCGCTGAATCCGAATCCGAGGTCCATTTAACCCCATCACTTCAGGATTTTTTATAACCTCAAAAAAAAAACGATATTCTGAACAATTAAACCATATAACCTTAAAATTCCAACGCTATGTCTAATTAATCAAATCCCATAAACTTTTAACCCAATGATATCCCCACCTAATAAGCTCATGAAACCAAATCCTAATAACCCTATAACCCCATAATCCCATAACCAACCGAATAAATCATACTCAATCTGTATTATTACAAAACATCACATAGCTGAGGAGTCCTTGAAAACCCTAGTAATCAAACCCAAAATGCATCCTATATATTGATCTAGTCATTTCACATGTCCGTTTTTTTTATCTAGTCATTCTAGTAATATAACTTTTTGGGTTATCTATTGTTATGCTTTGGATTTTCATTTCATTTAATCTAGTCAAGAGAGATTCTTAACATTAATCATTCATTTATTTATTTTAGTTTTATTGATTAATTTATAGTGCGGTCTCCTACAAATTAATTTGTTTTTCAAAAGCTCTTATGAGAGCTATATGATGTACGAAATCCGATCGCGCAACCACCTCGTGTTGTACATCGGGTAATGCTAATGCCGACGGTCCTACCAATTAAAGTTACAAAAAAACTAGATCGACTGTAACACTTGGTTATTTGGTGAATGGGATCAAAGTGCAAAGTAATAAAGTTGTGATTAGAGAATCGTGGGGTTATGGATTGTAGGATCATGGGGGTTTTGGGGTTTGAGTGCATAGATTTTTAAGATATCCTCAACCACGTTAACATTTAGCCATAAATACAGATTGGCTATGATTTATTAGTTATGGGGTTATGGGGTTATGAAGTTACGGGGTTATGGGAATTTTTTGGGTTTGAGTACTTGTTTTTTTAAGGAGTACTCAGCTATGTGATGTTTTGCAATAATACAGATTGAGTATGATTTATTGCCTTGGCTATGGGGTTACAGGGTTATTGAGGGTTTAGGTTTATGGGGTTATTAGACTGGGATATCATTGGGTTAAATGTTTATGTTAATTGGATTTAGCGTTGGAGTCTTAAGGTTATATTTTAATTGTTCAGAATATTGGTTTTTTGAGGTTATGAAAAATCCTGAGGTGATGGGGTTAAATGGACCTTGGATTCGGATGCAGCGGCCCCAAAAACATATGATAAACAAGGTCTGACCTCTGGGCCCGAAAGTCGATATTTGTGTGGCTGTGTTATGAATCTGAGCAAGTGTTTTGTTAGCACAGTACCGTGCGGGTTCTCTTCATTCCATAAATGTAAGTTATGGCAATTAAGAATGTCATTTATTAAAAAGCCAAATTCATTTAAGAGAGAAAATATATAAATCACAAGAATTATGCGTAAATTATAAAATGGCATTAGTTACATGACAGTAGCCTAGTTGGTAAATTACAGTTTCAATCTTCTGCATTTAGTGTAAAATTTACCAACTTCACACGTACGTTGGTAACATAGTTATTTTCAATTAAAAATATTGAAAACAAAAAATTATCGAGGATACTGTTTACAGATGAATCCGGCTTTACAAGAAGTGGCATTCTTAATTCTTATAGCTTACATTTATGGGATGAAGAGAATCCTTACGCTACTGTGCTAACAAAATACCAACACTGATTCATAATTAATGTATGTGCAGGAATAGTGGGTAACAATTTAAGAGGTTCTTGGTTCTTATTTTACGGTACGGTTCTGATAGTAATTATGTCCAATTAAAAACAAGAAATGGTGGAGGCGCCGATGGCTGTGCACTGTGACATAAAATCACAAATATTACTATTAATTAACTGTTAATTTTACCGAGTTGAACCAATAGGGAGGGAGAACTTATTTTTGATACAGGCAGATTGCGATAGTTAGCTAT